ATAATAACGCAACTACGACTTCCCCAGGTGCTGCTTAACCCTAACCATCGGCGTCGTCGTAGGAGAAAGGCTCGTCTCCATCGCAGCGCATGCGTGCCGGCTCTACCCGAAGGCGAGGTGCATCGACGTAGAGAAGTCCCACCCACCGCCGGTAGAGCGGCCGAGACCCAGCCCGAGGCTCCTCTCTTTCTAGTGATGGAGGCGCTCCGGGCTGCGGGGCGAGCTGTGCTCCGGAGCCCCGCCCTCGCCCGCCACCGCTTGGGCGTTGCCCGCCTTCGCCGCCACCGACAAGGTGAGTGCGTGAAAGCGCCTCACTGGGCGCTGCAGGTGTAACGCCGCGGTTGCTAGGAGACAGCAGGACGCCCAACCAAGCTGCTCCTCCTTTCCCCACGGCCGCTCTTCCTTTTCTCCCTTCTCGTGGGACAGGCGGGGACTCTCAGCGGCGCCGCGAACCTCCACGGGACTGGAAGGGCGAGGGAGGTTTCTAGGAGCTCGTGGTGGGGACTGGGGTTGGAGGGCGCTGCTTTTTCTGGAGCGCGAAATTAATCGGTGGCGCTCCAGCCTCCCCAGCTGAGTTGGAGCCCCAAAGGACGGAGACTGTAGGAGGAGGCGGTTTACGTACCGACGGTAGGCCCCTTTGGGCCGTCTGGATGGAAGAACCAAGCCAGACTCATCCCCAACACAGTGGGGCCAGCACTGCGCTGGGGGACTGAGATCCTCTTCAATATCAGGCGCCCTGGGCCCCGGAGCTGCTCTGGTGCTTGGTTCCTCAACAACCTCGACCTGGTTAGTGAAGGACCTAACTGCTGCTTTTGCACAATACACACAGTTTGGTTAGCTTTAATTTCAGATGATTTCCCCCTCTGATCTATGGCAGCCTTAGCTTTTAAAGAAAAGATCAATACCTACTTTGTCTTGTCAGGATTGTGACTTTAAAATCTGAAAGGCGCTAATACCTGTTGCTAGTTGAACTAAACTGTGGAATAAATGGCGTTTTTCAAAATTTCATCAAGGCTGACTTTGGTTCCTACCTTGCTCATGGAAAAGAAGATTTCAAAATAGAGTTGAACCAGACTCAGTGGAGTGAAAGATGATGGAGGTAGGAGCAAAGGCAGGAAGATTTTTTTAGGTGCTTCCCACTTTTTAGAGCTGATGATAATAGTGCTCCCATTTGTGGACAGTAGTTGTATCTGACTGATACTCTTCATCTGCCCTATATCCTCACAGTGAGAGGGATAGTAGAAAATGGGCATGCAAGCAATGGAATGCTTTTGTTTTGGTTGAGTTGTTGGTTATTTCCAACCAGAGGTGTTCACAAGGTGGGTGTGCACAGATGTCAAAAGCAGCATTGTGTTGATGCGATGTGAGCTTCATCTCTTTTGTCTGTGCATAGTGATGTTGCACATACAGGCTAGACCTTGCAACCTGAAATTACTTTTGTCATTTGGAGGAAGATGGTGGGTCCTATAGAAGTCTAGAATACCAACTTGGCATAATTTGTGGAAGAAATATATAATTGTTTCTTCTGTTTCCAGCCCCACCCACATATGAGGAAGACGGTATTAAGATTGGTGGGCCCAAAGGTTTGCAAAAACCAAAAAGTCTTTAGAGAAAATGTCCATATTTTATATACAGAATAGTGATAAAATACCTGAATTCTTGCTGCTGAGGGCAAGGCATTGCTTTGGTTTCCATCTCTGCTAACCTATTTTTTGTCTTGTTCTGCAGAACTCCCTGAATCTTGGGCTGACATGCGTGAACCCCTCTTGGAGGGCATGAGTTTTGCCCTGAAGTACCTAGGCATGACATTGGTGGAGAAGCCCAAAGGGGAAGACATGGCAGCAGCTGCCATCCACCGTATCATTGCCATGGTAAAAGATGTCTTTCCCTTCTTGTCCTGCCTCCACCCCATAATACAGGCTGGCAATGGCAGTCCCCAAGATTTTCATGCCTCAGGATTTCATGAACAAGCCATGCTCAGAGGTGGGGGGATTAAAGCTTGACTCTTCAAGCTATGGAGGAGAAAATGGATGGCAGCTTCCATTCTTTTTATTCAGCTTTGTAGATTGCTGTTTTGGTGTTTCAAATCCTTTATAGGTTTAGAGGTAGCATATTAGCTATCTTAGCTAAATAGGACTTCTGTATTCACATGTAGTTTGAGTAGAGTTTGAAGGTAGGGGTGAATAAATGTAATCTAAATCTGGACATGGGCTTTATGGATGCATTACTTCATAACAGATTGCTGGATTTGAATATTGGATTTGACCCAGAAGAGATAGTTTTACATTCATCTCCACAATCTTTTTTTTTATCCATTTCTTCTTATCCTCAGGCTCGGGTGGGGCCTAAGAAGTTCCAGAAGATGATTCTGACTGTGTCACCCAGGGGCCTCTCTCTGCAAGATGCTGAGACCAAGGAAACAATTGAAACGATCTCCATTTACAGGTGTGGATTCATGCAAAAAGACTGCATTCCTGGTAGAACACCGCTGACGAACAGATGGATGATTAGATGGCCATTTGTTCCTAATTGTTCCTGTATGATGTATCAAGAAGCACCACTGACTGAGCAAAGACTTAAAGTGCATGGCTAAAGCGCATGCAGAGGCTGCATGAACCTTTCCTTTTGTGTGTATAGCATGTTGTACAGTATAAGAAACTAAGCTGGCGCTAATTCGAAAGCTTTCCTGGACCTGCCCAGAAGCATATCCTTTCCATTTAAAATTTGCCTTCCTGTGCAGAGGAGCTTACCGGTTGGGCTTATCACTTTTCTTACTGCTAATTTAGGAAAGATGCTTTTTATACCTACAGACTGGGAACGTCTTACTCTCTCCATTTTTTTTCATGGGCTTTCTGTAAATCAACTGTTGCTTATTTCTGCTAGGAATCTTCTGCTGTTGCAAGAAGTGACCTACTTTTTTATGCTGAGGGCTGTACTTGATGTTTAAATGGTATAATAGATGCGCTGTGAGAAGTGGGTCAAGTCAAGGCTGAAAAACAGACAAGGCTCTACCAAAAGATTTTAAAAATATCTTCCATGGTATTAAGTTATATCACAGCTAAGTATAACAGGTTCAGAGTATTGCTATTTTAAAGCATTTTCTAAGAACCCCCACCCCAAATTGTTGCTCCAAAGAGTTCAGTTGCATTTCAAAAAGTCTTTTTGAAGTTGCAACAAACCATTGGGCTGCATGTCAGCTGTGGAAGTCTACTTTTGCTCTTGCCTAACTGGCAAATTATCTGTACCCCCACAATTCATGTGGTTCTTTCTTCCTGTTCTGATTGTGTCTTCATTAGCAAATGTGTCCTATCCTGAGCCCTTTCCTGGTTTTGACATATACTGCCTCTCCCCTTTGTACAGGCTTATAAGAAGCAAGCCCAGCCTTTTCTTTTGCAGGATTTCCTATTGTACCACAGACAAGCTCCAGAACAAAGTCTTTGCCTATGTGGCACAGAACCCTCAGAGCGGTGCGCTCGAATGCCATGCTTTTCTATCACCTAAGAAGAAGATTGTAAGTTTCTGTGACTTTAGTGGGGAGGGAAGAGGACTTACTCTCTGGCTTATTCCAATCCTACTGTTTGCCTTGAGGAGACAGTCCTGGCTGCCTATGCCTCAGGAGAGGGGACTTTTCACCTTGGTTGCTGCTTGGCCTGCTGCTCCTGTGTACTGTCTCTAGTCATTTTTTCTTTCCTCTTCTTACCTCGTAGGCCCAGGCTGTGACTCTCACTGTGGCCCAGGCCTTCCAAGTGGCCTTGGATCTCTGGCAAGCTGCACAGGCAGGTATGACTGATAGGTGCACATTCCTGTAATTGTTATTGAGAGGCAATTGTTAATGCCTCCTTCCCCCCGCTTTTTGACTGTGCTGAACTCCCTGCCTTTCCCCAGTGCGGAGGGAAGAGAGATGCAGGAGTAAGGATTAATTCCCTGAATAAGATCTGGCTAGCCTGTGAAGCTTAGATGGCTGGCCGAAACATGGATGGTGATGAGAGGAGGGGACTCTTCACATCCTCAAAGGCGCTTTCAATATTATTATGACGTTGGGAGGGCAAATCAGTTGCAGGGTATCTTTTCCCCTCAGGCTCCAGGGAGGAAGAAAAGCACCTTCCAAGGCCAATGTGCCCCATAGAAAGCACTTGTCCGCCAGTCAGGACACCTCTGGGCAGCCCCCCGTTCAAAACAGACTTTGAGGTATTGTATGGTTCATGGCCTCAGCTCCTTTCCCCCTTATTTTGCATGTAACCCATTGGCTATGATGGCCAAGAGAGGTTCCCCACTTTGGAAACAGGTGAGCACATTAGAGGAAAGGAGCCACGGTCATGCTTTTGCTTACCCCATCGAGAGAATTGGTGGGACCAAGTGTTTCATGATATCCTCTGTCTCTAGGATGAAGATGATGAGGAAGGAGATCTTAATGAAGCCTTCTCTGGGTAGGAATGTGATGCCTATGTCAGGCTCAGGCCTGGGAGGCCAGAGCCCAGGATGTCTCATGGCTGGGAAATGCTTGGCTGGAATCCCCAGTGGCTGCAAGACTAATTGATTAAGTAATCTGGCAGGTGTGTGGGTGGATAGGGGTAGGTTAGACTTGCCTTGCCTTGCCTTGCTGCTGTAACATGTCTTTGCTTTCTACTTCAAAGCTGCATGGAGGAGGGGGGCTGCCCCACCACAGGTAATAAACTCTCTGTCTAATTTTGCCATCACCATGTTCCCTTTTCCAGGGAGTATGGAAGCCTCCTAATGTTTATGTTTTGTCCTGTCCATGATGTCCACGATTGGCCTGCTTTCTTGATTGTAGCGGAAGAGCAGTAATCACATTTTCCAAAGTATTTCTCACTGTGTGCCCCAACTAGAAGAGGGCACCTCTCCCCTCAGTGGTTTTACTGATAACTTTGTATTTCAGATGCAGGGAGCCTTACCTTTGGGAGCTCCCCAGTCACACAGTTCTACTCAGTGGCAGCCTGGGGATGCAGTCCTCCCAGCAATTGCCTGCCTCCAGGGACACTTTTCTAAATCTCCTGTTGCTGTCATCACTATTCATCTCCAGCACCACTTTGTTATCTGCAATGCATAAAGAATGGGCTGATCTCTCCAGCCATAGACCCTCTTGCCGTTAATAACTGTGTATTGTTCAGAACTTCAAGTAAATACCTCCTAGAAGCATCAAGGTGCCCAGTAGTTCTCCAGGCACTTCACTGGTTCTACTCCAAAAGCTATATTCTGCAGGGATGCCAGAACTCCTGTACTCGGTAAAGGCAATAGATACCCTTTTTTATAGTAGGGCATAGCTCTGAATGCAGAGGTAGGTGCTATGTAGCAAAAACAATCAGACTTGTAATTAGTTTCTTGCCCCATTGAATTGGGTTGGGAGCCTTGTGGATGTAGAAAAGTTCTGGCTTCTGTTTCACTTGAGAGGGAGATCCCCTGCCCCCAATCATTCATCACTGCCAAATCACAGCTTTGTAGCAAAAGACTAATTTTTAATGTCATTTTTAAAGGTAAATAAATATTTCTACTGTTGTATTTGGCTGTTTTTTTCTTTCAATTGTTTCATCTTTGTTAGATTGATGAACGAGGGGGAGGGAAGTATTGGGAAGGCTGTCCCTGGGAGTCAATTTCAGCATAATATTCCATATCACAATGTTTACTTTCTCCCTAGACCAAATATTCGGAGCGATGTATTCCCCCTACACTGTTCTCTTGCCCATTCCGATGAAGGGGGAGAAGCAACATCTGGCCTTTGACAGTATCATGGGTAGCGCTTGGTACTATGCCAAATGAATCTTTTGGTCTTTCTTAGCGTCTCCAAGTACAGTTAATTCTTCTCTAGTGAGTTCTGTCCACAGCCCCTCTCCAATTGCTCCTCTTAGTTAGCAGTCTTCTAAGTCTGCAGGAGAGGGAACTTATGGGTCTTTCATTGTCCTGATAAATCCTCAATGCGGTCTCAATATGGGCACCTGCTTCCAGGAGGGGATCATCAGGAGATTGTGTATATGTTACTGTGTACTTTGAAGCAAGAAAGTAATGGATGGGGTTTGTTAATGTACATCCTTATTAACTCTTGATTTCAAGTCATTCTCACTACTTGAGGCCAAAAAGGAGGTTCTTGGTCCAGCTGTTTGGGACTAAAAGGGATGTTGTGGGCCAAGCAGTTTTTTCCTTGCATCTGCAATATAATTTCAGTTGAACTGTTTGTGGTAATTTTTAGAGAAGAGTGTGTGCATGCAAGTATGGTCATGATAATGAATGTACCTATGCTTTTTTCAGTTTTGAGACTTGTTTGAGGTAGACCCTCTCAGCCAGGGCCAAAAGTTCCTCCTACGTTTTGAAGATAAAAGTTATTTAAATCTATAGTAAATATGTTCAGAGAATATGATTACCTGTGATTGAGCAAACTATGGTTCAGTCTCATTTTAGGGGTTTGCTCTTCCTACTGAACCAGAAACTGAGTTTGCACAACTTACTGGAATGAAAGGTGGTTGCTTATTTTTGTGGTCTGTTATGTAAACACAGATGTGGATTTTATTTCTTAGGTTTTAAATTCACTAGAAGAGTTTTTTAGTATTTTATAGCAAAAAGATATGGTGGGGAACTGTACGTTTGTGACTTCAATGAAAGCAGTATGTGATCATTCTGGGTGTTATGGCAATGCCATAAATGTGACTGCCTTAGCTTTGTCAGGCACGTGTGTTGATATGATTTCAGGTGCCTGTTCAGCTATGACAATTACCCAGGGCATTCACTAGCAGTGAAAATTTCCACTCTCACCAATGTACAAGGCAATTCTGCCTCATTTTTCATGAGTACCAGAGTAGCCTTTTTATAGGAAAAATACCTGAATGGCACGTTTGCCTGACCCAACATGTGAAGGATAAATGGGTCCTGGCTCCATAGCTCTCCTAGCCTCCTCTGCAGTCATGCCCTGCTCCACCCTCTATAGTGCAGTGCTCTTAGCTGAGGAAAGGCTAGGATTCCTGGAAGACAAGGGATGCTGCTGGTATTTCTGTGCCACTGGTGACTCGTATGGCTGCTTCCTGGCTTCAGGTGTGGTTTTGGGAATGGGATCTGATCCTCCACTGGCATTAGCAATTTTACTAAGGGGTTGTTATGGTTAGGAAATGCTGGCTCCTGTCTTTGTGGTTCTGGTGGGGGATAGAGGGACAGGGATAGGGAATAGCATTCTCTATTGGGGTATGGGTTTAGGGGTGTTTGGCACACTGAATGGCACAAGAGTTGTTGGCACAAGGGAGATTAGCAGGAGCAAAAAGACCTTACAAAGAACTGATAGCAGCTTATAGCAGTTTTGGTAGTAGGTGGTACTCTGAAAGAGAAGGTAACTCTAGAAGCTCACAATGATGCTGCTTCCTTCTACAGTACTGCTCTTTAGAGTAACATTATTTTCCCAATAGGCACTGGAACTAAGTCCTCACTAATGTTTGGGGTGGGGTGATAAGGACAGTCCACAGTTCATCTTTTTCTCCACTCCTTGATGAAAGCAGACTACTGGACAGGTTGAAAACCTTTGTGTTCCTTGCATCCATCATTCATTTCAGAGTGCAGTTTGTTTCTCTGCCACTTGCTGGAGACATGAAGCCTGGGTTTTAGGACTGCAGGCTATGCTTTGGGTTCTCATTCGGGGATGAAGGAAAATGTGGCCCAGTATAATGCTGCTTCCCACATCAGCAGGAAGGAAGTCTTCACTCGAGTGCATCCTGCTGCTGGTTTGAAGGCTTCTGCAGCTGGCTGTTCCATGTGGCCCAGCCTTGTTTCTGTTACAACTTCAGGACAAGAGGTTAGTTAGAGGCCAGCTTCTACATGCACCTTGTCTTGGCAGCTGGCTCCATGCAGATCCCCTCCTTCAGGGCAAGAAGCTTTAATTCTTTGCATGCAGGTGAAGAGCCAGGCCCAGGGCCCAGCAGTGTTCCAGCAGCCATCTGGAGTGCTTCAAGCCTGTGGTAACAGCTATACTTCAATGATATTGATAGATGGTGATTTCTTCTGTGTGAGAGAGAGATGTTTATGATAATAAGCAAAAAAAAAAAAAATGCAGCGGCAGCTGATCCTCCTCTAAACTTCTACTTTCTGTTCCCTTTCTGCCCATTGGATTTCTTTGATTGATCCTGTTCCTCAGTTGCACTCACAAAATGAAGTATGAGGATTTTTGGATGAAGAAAGTCTGTCAAAGGGCGAAAGCCACCTAAACATTATTGCCCAGTTTGGTGATTAGGGTAGGATATAAATACTCTAATATAGGTAGTCCTTGGGTTATAACAACAATTGGGACCAGAATTTCCGCTGCTAAGTGATGCGGTCGTAAACCACAACATCATGTAACTGCATTGCTTAGTGACAGCAATCCTGGCAGACCCAGTTGCCATCGTAATCCCAGGTCGTTAAGCGGGAAAAGGCAGGAGTCCCAGGAGCATGGGGATGCATGGGTGTCATGGGGGTGGGGGATGCCATGGGCAGGTGCTATGGACTGCGGGGGGTGCCACAGGCAGGCGCTACAGAGCACGGGTGAACCAGCAAGGGCTGCAGACAGGTGCTTTTAAGCACAGGCAGGCCAGTGGAGGCTGCAGGTGGATGCTTCTGGGCATGGGCAGGCCGGTGGGGGTTATATGAACCACGGGCGGAGGGGTGCTGCAAAGTACAAGATCCCTGGGATCTTGTATTCTGTAGTGGGGGTCTTCAGGAGAAAAAGCGGCAGGAGTGACTTACAGGAGTGACTTGCAACTTTCCCTGCTGATTTCCCCCACTGACTTTGTGTGTGGGACGCTCATAGGGAAGGTCACAAATGGCGATCACGTGATCGTGGCTCACTGCAATGTTATAATCACAAGCTGGGCACCCAAGCAACCAGATCGTGATCACGTGACTGTGGGTATGCTATGACAGCTGTAACTTCGCAGACCAGTCATAAGTCCTCATTCAGCGCCACCGTAATATTGAGCGGTCCCTGAATGAGTGGTCATAACTTGAAGGCTACCTGTAAATAGATGAATTCTCATGGCTTTCATAACTGTCACACCAAAACTATATTCACTGAGATTGTATGCCAGAACCTGCCCTCTATCTACCGCACCCCACTTCAATTGGTGTTTTTGTGCTTGTTCACAATGCAGTGTCATTTAGTAGTTAGGCCAATGTATAAATTTGGCTGAATGAAGTTATTATGGAATATGGCTGCTTCTCTTTGTACAGCAAGCTAGGCCATTTTGCCTATTCATGTGGCATCTGTCTATAGATTAGGGTGGAAACGAACTGCACCAAAGCAGCTCTTAATTCTTACATTTAAGAACAAGCAAATCATACAGTCAAGATTGTATCCTTTGAAAAGTTTTTAAAGGGTTCAGCTGAGCTATGAAAATGTTGATCAAAGAGATATAAAAGGTTCTTAATCACTCTGTACCAGATGATTAAACAGTTAACATTGATTTTTAAATAAATAGGGTCCTAGAAATTATAATCTAGTTGTTTCACATCTAAAATGGTGTCTTTAACCCTAGAAATCTAATTTATTACAATTTAAAACCTTCATTTTTTGTCACCATGCTTGCTTTCTTGAAAGGAATGACCATGTTTGGATTTTCTCAGTTTGGAAAAAACGGTATATGGGATATGTTAGAGGTGTGTTAAATTATGTACAATGTTGAATATATTTCTAGGGAAAAGCAATCTTCCCTGTCATCCAGTTAGAGAGTGCATGGTTTTTTAAATGTTGATTACCTACAACTCCTAATAGCCCAAACAGCCCCAACTAGCATGAAGAATGCTTAGAGTTTTAGTTCAGCAATATCTGGAAGGCCACAGATTATCCATTTGTGTACTGAGGTCATCAGTACATTATGGATTGATTGGTGAGAGGATAAGTTGAAGTGATGTTCTACAGGCAGAAACTCATATTCTTTGGGCATGTGTTGTGAACAATGGACTAGAAAAATTATGCTTAGGAAGGTTAATGAGGTAAAAGAAGACAACAGAAAAAGTGGATGTGCAGAATCAAATACAGCAGATTACAATAATGTTCATGGAAGACCTGCATGTTATTACTAAAAAGTTGAGATATTGAACATTTGTCCATACACCTAGCAGAAGTCAAGCCC